CTAACACAGTGAAACCCCCCTACTAAAAAAAAAAAAAAAAACTAGCCGGCAGGTGGCGGGCGCCTGTAGTCCCAGCTACTCTGGAGGCTGAGCAGGAGAATGGCGTAAACCCGGGGGACGGAGCTTGCAGTGAGCTGAGATCCGGCCACTGCACTCCAGCCTGGGCGACAGAGCGAGACTCCGTCTCAAAAAAAAAAAAAAAAAAAACTTCAAAAGAATGTAAGAAATATTTCTTAAAGTACAGCTTTAAAAATGCCCCTTAAAAATACATCAATGTTATATTAAGGCAAACCTACTTCAGAAGCACAGAGACTTGAAAAAAGTTAATTTCTTGTAATTTCAGGATGTTTTGGGAACGAGAAACAAGCACAGAAAATGGGCTAGGAAGACAGTGGATGACACCGATGGGCTGATCACGGTTCCAGGATGGTCTCGCCATGGAGGTGACGGTCTCGCCATGGAGGTGACAGGGTGAATGCTGCAGTGCAGGACTGGGGGCGCCACAGGAACGGGCGCTCCAGGTAGGGTGTCGTCCTGGAAGGATGAGAGTCCTGAGAACAGCTGGGTGGGAGCAGGGTCCGCCAGCTGCACGGGGGTGGGGAGGGTGCCATGAGGGCCTGAGAGCAGCGAGGCAGGGGAGGAACCCTAATCCCTCATCTGCATGAGATGTCAGGCCTGCCAGAGCCCCATGGAGCTCGGAATGGAGCTGGGGAGGAGCATTTGCCAGGTCTCCCATCCCCTCCTTCTGCCCACTGGGATTGCTCCTGAAGAAAGAAGAACCCATCAAGTCCTTGTAAATGTGCTGGGAGAGAACCCCTGACAGTGCCTGGTGCTCACTCCTGGGGAGCCACTGTCGCAGGTGAAGTTTCTGGGCTCAGGCCCATGGCACCTGGAAAATGTCGTGTTTCAGTGAAATGATCTTCAAAGTCCAAGAGGAAATGTTCCAGGCACCCCTCAGAGACCCTGTGAGGCAGGAAGGACAGTGGGGCCACGAGGGTCCCCAGCTTCTCCAGCTCGACCTGTGCCTGGAAATTACTCCCTGAAATCGTGAGCAGAGCTGGATGCTGGGTCAGTTCTGTGATCTGTGGGACTCTACCCTTAATGGCTTCATTTATTTACAGGGATCTAACCTTATATTTATCTATGTAAAGAATGAAATTGGTCATTTCTTAGATTCACCTGTGCTTGAGATACCTTTTTAAGAATATTTTCCTAGCCATTAAATAAGTCAATTTTCTTTTTTCATTTTCCTGTTGCTATGTGACAAAGGTAATATTCTATACTTTTTGTATTAAAGGACTTCAAATTATTGATACTTTAGATGACTTCTAAAGTTCTTGCCATATTCTGAATGAAGAATGTGAGCCCCAGGTTAGAAACATCAACATGATGTGGACTATTCTGAGCTCAACAGAACTGACTGAACTAGCAGGGTGTGTTTTTGCTGCTTCGTCCACTCACACACTGTCTGAGACCCATTCATGTCTCTGGAGGTCCCTCACCTTGCGCTGGCTGACTCCCCTGAGGGACTTGCTGGGACGTCCTCATCCATCTGCTGTGAACGACCATTTGGATCTCTTCCCACTCGGGTTTGTGCGAACAGTGACACCAGGTGCATCTGAAATATGCCACATGCCCAGGTGCACGTGGGGTGTGTGCAGCTCCCTGACCCCTCTGCGGCGGGACAGCAATGAGGCCCAGGGCGTAGCGGGGAGGTTTGGGTGTGGGAGCAGGCTGGGGTTGGAGAGAGGACGCTGGATTCTGGACTTTATCTAAGGGCTGAGCAGCAGGCGTCATGGCAGATCGGGTCTGGTGTTGAACTGACCTGATTGTCGCAGAGAACTGATGTTCATGGTTTCTCTGAATAACATAGAAATGGATCCTTGTGGTCTTGAAACTTGAGAACGTGACGTGTCTTATTTGAGTTCCTTTCTCAGAAAACTGACCATCAGGCCTCCTGGGTAGCGTGAAGGAACAGACTCAGCAGATCACGGCATCTGGTCAGTGAGACACCAAACCCTTCACCCATCATGATTGTCTGATCAGCCACCTGCCTCCTCCTGACCAACTCCTCTTCCTCTCTCCCCCTAATTCCTGTTTTCCTTACACATAGTCACATTTCTTCCCTGCTATACAGTCAGTCAGGAAAATGCATTTGAGGCTGACCTCCCATCTCCTAGCCTGCAGCTCCTGATGCACGCCTTCTTCACTGGCAGTAACCATCGTCTCAGTGACTGGCTTTCTGTGTGCTGAGCAGTAGGATCTGGAACAAACCCTTGCATTTTGGAAACATGGAGAGCAGCCTCAGCAGGCCCCCGGCCCCGAGTGCAGTCATGACTATTAAGGACCCACACCAACCCCCAAAGGTGAGTGTGGACAAGAAGAAAAGGCTCCTGAGGATCCAACCAGGAGAATTCCTGCAATGTCACGGAGAATCATGGCCACCCGGCCCATTCCCCCATTGAAGGGCAGCTGCAAGATTCAGCTCATTTGTCTTCTTTCCTGGACATGTTCAAATCTCTTTCAACACAACCTTGTGATCCTGAGATTCCATCAAGATGTGCATTGTTTTACAATATTGCTTTAATTTACTCTGCCAGCTATCTGGGGAAATGCAACCTCATCAGCAGAAATTATTTCCTCCCTGCCGCTTCTGAAATCTGTTATTTCCTATAGCCAGGTACTGAGCCCTTCAACTGAAGTCTAAACCCTCCACCCTCTCCCTCCGGGGTCGCCAAGCCGGTGGTTTGTTCCATGCTCCCAGGCAGATTGTGTCAACTCAAAGTCCAACGTGCTTAAGAAATACTTAATTTTAGGAGGTTTTTTTTTTAATGTTTTTGTTTCATGGAGGTGACACCCTCTGTCTTTGACTTGTGGGCGCCTTCCTCCTTCAGTCTGCATGTACTGAAGCCAGTGTCTGCTGTACAGCCTCTCAGCCGCAGCCCACAGTGAGGTGCAGGTGCTCAGCCTTCGCCCCAGAGAGCGCCTCCATTCGCCCCTCCACCCGTAGCCCCTCGAAACCACTGCCCTGCTTCCCAACACGGTAGCAATGTCTTCTCCAAGGTGTCATGTGGCGGCATCCTTCGGCCTGTGCCCACCAAAACTAGCTTTCTTCACCAGGCATGTGGCCTGGGAGACCTGGGGCATTTTGGGTGCATGTTTCCACTGCTGGTTGGTGCCCCCTGTGTGGAAGCATCCGCGTTGGTTCACGCCTTCTCCTGCCGATGGACAATTTGTTTTCTTCCAGTTATTGGCAATGAGCAATGAGGCCTAAACACTTGAGTGCAGGTTTGTGTGTGCACGTTTAAGTTTTCTCTTGGGGGAAATTTCAGGAGTGGGGTTGCTGGATGACGTGGTAAGGATGTGCTTAACTCAATAAGAAACTCCCGGACCACGTTCCAGCATGGCGGGATCCCTCCCATTCCCACTGCCGCTTATGAGGGTCCCAGTTCCTCTGCATCGTCACTAGAAGCTGGGTTGGCCCGTGGTTTTTGTCTGTTTTTAGCCATTTTAATAGATTTGCAGAGCTACTGTTGACTGGCATTTCTCTAGCATCTCTATGATGTTGAGCCTCTTTCTCGGGCAATATGCCCTCCTTATACCTTCCTTGATGAGGGCTCCATTAAAATATTTGCCTTCTCTTTAATACTGGGGCTTTTACTTTCTTATGGTTAAGTTTTGACGGTTCTTCGGATATTCTGCGTGCCAGTACATTGTGAGATGTGTGATTAACCAGTATTTTTTTTCTAGCCCATAGTTTGCATTTCATTCTTTTAAGATTTTTATATTGCTTTATAGAATTATAATTTTAAATTATGACTAAATTTAATTTGTCAATCTTCTATGAATCATGCCTTTGGTGTCATGTCTAAGAACTTTTCACCTAACCCCAGGCCATACAAATTTTCCCCTGTGTTTTTATCTAATGGTTTTATAGTGTTGTGTTCTCCATTTAGGCCTGTGATAAATGTTGAGTAACATTTTGTGTCAGCCACGGCCATACCTTTTTCCGTCTCTGACAGTATCTTGGGTGTTTGCAGCTCTCAGTGCCCTGTGCAGTTCCCGTCTTCTTGGTCCGCTCTTTCTGTGAGTTTCAGGGCGTGTCTTAGTGCTGATGCTGTCCTGGCCCATCAGGGGGTCCCATGGGCTTGTCCGTGTGGGAAAGTCAGGACTGTGATGTTGACGGGATGCCGTGAGTTGGGAGGTTCTGACGGGGGTTTCCATGTAGGAGAGAGAGGTGTTTGGTTTTCCGGATGGGGCAGACTTGAGAGGGGACAAACTTGAGAAATGCCACCAAGGGGAAGCCCAGGCAGAGCAGGTCTCGGGGCCGCCCAGTCGTGTGGGCGCCAAACGTGGATGTGTCAGTGGCCATGCCAGGAGGTAAACCCTCACCCAAGGGCCTCTGGGTGTCCACGGCCAAGTCTTGTTCAAGAGGTGCGTTCAGCTGAGCCAACCATGGCAGAAATGCACAGGGGAAATCCCATGGTTCCTCTGTTTAAATCCCCTGCTAATCCCACCCGACTCAGAGAAGCAGCCAAGTCCTCACAGCAGCCTGCAACCCCCACCTGACTCAGCCTCTTCTTGGCTCTGATTCTCTCTCCCCTCCTATCCCTTTCTGTCTCTTCTGCCACCAGAGAGGAGATCCTCCATGTTCATCCTGGTGGATTCAAACCCATGTTTGCCACACAGATAGTCACCGGAATCAATAGGTATAATCTATAAAGAGTCCTTTTGAAAAAGAAAAAGGCAGGCTGGACATGGTGGCTCACGCTTGTAATCCCAGCACTTTGGGAGGCTGAGGCAGGAGAATCACCTGAGGTCAGGAGTTTCAGACCAGCCTGGACAACATGGTGGAACCCCATCTCTAGGAAAAATACAAAAATTAGCTGGGTGTTGTGGCGTGCGCCTGTAATCCCAGCTACTCAGGAGGCTGAGGCAGGAGAATCACTTGAACCCAGAAGGTGGAGGTTGCAGTGAGCTGAGATCACGCCACTGCACTCCAGTCTGGGTGACAGAGTGAGACTCTATCTCAAAAACATAATAATTGGAATAATAAAAGAAAATGCAAAAATTCAAACAACTTAACAGAAACTGGGCAAAAGAGCTGAACTGGCCCTCCACAGAAGAGGAAATGTGGAGGAACGGCTAATGAAAACACGAAGAGGGGCTCAGCCCAACGGGGAGATATCATGTGACACCCACCAGACTGGCAGAAATCCCACAACCCAATCAATGCCAGTGTTGGGGAGAAGGGAGAGTAGCAGGAACACCAGGCACTGCTAAGAATGGTTATGAAATATATTTTTGTTACGCTTGTATATGAAAGGGGGTGTGTTGTGGGTTATGAGGAAAATTATATTTCTTACCTGGGATGAAATTTTAAAACTTGAAAGCTACTGACCCGAAGAAACTTGCACGTGTGTAAAAAGAAATGCCCAAGAACGTTCCTAGCAAAACACAGTCCTAAGGGCCCCAACCTGGCCAAACACTCACCCACAGGGAAATGAAGACATTTCCCGTGCTCCCCTCAGACGACGGGAGATCACACAGCAATGACAATGAATCATGTCAGTGTGGTTGGGTCTCAGGGAGAGAATGGAGATGGGAGATCACACAATGAAAATGAACCACGTCAGTTTGGGTGGGTCTCAGGGAGAGAATGGAGATGGGAGATCACACAATGAAAATGAACCACGTCAGTGTGGGTGGGCCTCAGGGAGAATGGAGATGGGAGATCACACAATGAAAATGAACCACATCAGTGTGGGTGGGTCTCAGGGGGAGAATGGAAGACAAAGACAGACATTAAGCAGATGCTCAGAGCCATGCAGCATAGGAGCAGCCACGCAGGAGAATTTCCTCACATCAAAGTTCAAAACTACAGCCGAGGCAACAGAGCAAGACCCTGCCTCAAAAAGAAAACAGAAAGTTCAAAAACTAAATGGCATATTTTTTGGGATGTACACATACGCGGTGAAAGAAACGTACTGTGAAGAAAAGTACGGGAACAATAAAGACTAAAGCAGGAAGTGATTCCCTCTGTAGAAGAAGGGAAGGGACTGGGACTCAGGCAGGGCCTCCAGGGAACATCTGAAGTTATGTCTCTTCAGATTCATTCCCTAAACTTGGTGGAGGTCCTCTGTGTCCAATGTGTCGATATTCTTTATATTTTACCCATATTGTACCAATGCTTTATTTCTATTCAATATTTAGAAGACAGTTATAAACAAGATGCATTAAATAGCAAGATGGCCGATGAACATCAGGAAGGAACATCCATGAGGTTCCATCCACAGAACCTCACCATGGATACGCTTGTGATCAAAGGCCTGGTCTCCCCTCACGACACAGAGCAGAGGCCGCACCATCATAGTGGAGCAGGAGCAGCTGGGACAGGGCCCTTCTGTGAACCTGCTGCATCGCCAGGCTGTGCAAACGGACTCAGCGGCCAGAACTCACAGAGTATCAGTATCAGCACCGAAACCTCACAGGAAAAACGGTAAGTTCTAAGTTTCTCCATTAATAGTAACTCTCAGATTAATCTCTGTCATCCATCGCTTCTCCAAGAAATAACTTTTTATACCTTTGCATGGGTCTATTTTTCAATTTATATTTTATTTTACTAACTGATTGAAAAGATATATATTGTGTGTGGTGTCTGATTTTGTCTGTCAGGATAATCATAGTTTAATTTCTATTATTATGATTATAGCAAAATCACTTAGTTTTTTTTAAGCTTTTCAATTCCTGAGGGTATTAATCAGGGTCTTCCTATCTCATGAGACAGAAAACAAATCCAAACTGTGTAAAAGAAAAAGGAATGTAATGATCACGAGGACTGAGAAGCTCCCAGGCTTAACTTGCTTGGGATTCAGCTACATGTACAGTTTCAAGTGGGGTACTGTAACTCTCTCTCTCTCTCTCTCTCTCTCTACTTCCCCAACATCAGCTGCATGTTTAGCTCCACAAACTTTAGACTTAAACAGCATCACTGGCTCCTGACCAGGATTCCAGCTCCACGAACCTCAAACTACAACACCAGCCTTCCTTCTCCTTAGGGCTCCAGCTCCAAAACCTAAGACATCAGTGGCAGTACCTACTCCTCCTGGAGGCTCCAGCTCTGACAGCCTCAGACTTGAACCGCAGCACCAGCTCTTCCCCGGATCTCCAGCTCCACCACCCTCAGATTTAAACAGCAGCAGCACCAGCTCATCTGTGGGTCTCTAGCTCCACGACACTCAAACTAGGACAACATCAGCTCATCCCCGGGTCGCCAACTGCATGACAATCCAACTAGAAACACACCAGCTCCTCCCTGGGTCTCCAGCTCCACAAACCTCACACGACAAAGGCAACACCAGCTCCTCCTCAGGTCTCCAGCTTTACAACCTAAGACAGTGGCAGCTCCAGCTCCTCCCAGGGGCTCAAGCTCCGAGCCTCTCAGACTTGAACCTCAGCACTAGCTCTTCCCTGGATCTCCAGCTCGACGACCTTCAGATTTACACAACAGAAGAACTAGCTCCTCCCTGGGTCTCCAGATACACGACCCTCAACTAGAACATCAGCTCTTCTCCAGGTCTCCAGCTCCAGGGCCGACAAACTAGAACAACAACGCTCCCCCCTATATCTCCAGATCAACAAACCTCAAATAGGAATGCCAACACCGCTCCTCCGCAGGTCTCCAGCTTCACAACCCAAAACTAGAAACACCAACACAAGCTCCTCCGCGGGTCTCCAACTCCACGACCCACAAACTAGAACAACGCTCCCCCCGTATCTCCAGCTCCACAACCCTCAACTAGAAACACCAACTCCGGCTCCTCCGTGGGTCTCCAGCTCCACGACCCTCAACTAGAAACACCAACTCCAGCTCCTCCGTGGGACTCCAGCTGCATGACCCTCAATGAGAAACACCAACACCGTCTCCTCCGTGGGTCTCAAGCTCCAGACCCTGAACCAGAAACACCAACAACAGCTCCTCCACAGGTCTCCAGCTCCGCGACCCACGAACTAGAAAACAATGCTCCACCCTGTATCTCTTGCTCCACAACCCTCAACGAGAAACACCACCACTGGCTCCTTCACGGGTCTCCAGCTCCACGACCCACAAACCAGAAAACAATGCTCCACCCTATATCTCCAGCTCCACAACCCTCAACGAGAAACATGAACTCCAGCTCCTCCACGGGTCTCCAGCTCCACAAACCACAAACTAGAAAACAACGCTGCACCCTGTATCTCCAGCTCCACAACCCTCAACAGGAAACACCAACAATGGCTCCTCCGTGGGTCTCCAGCTCCACAACCCTCAACTAGAAACACCAACACCAGCTGCTCCGCAAGTCTTCAGCTGCACGACCCTGAACTAGAAACACCAACAGCGGGTCCTTTGCAGGTCTCCAGGACCACGACCCTCAACTAGAAACACCAACAGTGGCTCCTCCACGGGTCTGCACCTCCATGACCATCAACTAGAAGCACCAACAGCGGCTCTTCCGAAGGTCTCCAGCACCACAACCTAAACAAGAAACACCAACACCGGCTCCGCTGCAGGTCTCCTCCTCTACGACCTTCAGCTACAAACACCAACACTGGCTCCTCCGCGAGTCTCCAGCTCCACAACCTACAAACTAGAAAACAACACTCCACCCTGTATCTCCAGCTCCACAACACTCAACGAGAAACACCAACAACGGCTCCTCCGCGGGTCCCAGTTCTACAACCCACAACTAGAAACACCAACACTGGCTCCTTGGCAGGTCTCCAGCTCCACGACTCTCAACTAGAAACATCAACTCTGGCTCCACCATGGGTCTCCAACTCCACGACCCTCAACTAGGAACACCAACTCCAGCTCCTCAACGGGTCTCCAGCTCCACAACCCACAAACAAGAAAACAATGCTCCGCCCTGTATCTCTAGCTCCACAACCCTCAACAAGAAACACCAGCACCAGCTCCTCCACGGGTCTCCAGCTCCACAACCCACAAACTAGAAAACAATGCTCCACCCTGTATCTCCAGCTCCACAACCCTCAACAAGAAACACCACCATGGGCTACTCTGCGGATCTCCAGCTCCGCGACCCACAAACTAGAAAACAATGCTCTACCCTGTATCTCCAGGTCTACAACCCTCAATGAGAAACACCAACAACGGCTCCTCCGAGGGTCTCCAGCTCCACGATCCTCAACTAGAAACACGAACACCATCTCCTCTGTGGGTCTCTAGCTCCACAATCATCAACTAGAAATACCAACAATGGCTCCTCCATATGTCTCCAACTCCACGACCCTCAACCAGAAACACCAACGACAGCTCCTCCACGGGTCTCCAGCTCCATGACCCACAAACTAGAAAACAACGCTCCACCCTGTATCTCCAGCTCCACAAACATCAACTAGAAACATCAACTGCAGTTTCTCCGCGAGTCTCCAGCTCCAAAACCCTCAACTACAAACACCAAGACAGGCTCCTCCGCAGGTCTCCAGCTCCACAATCCTCAATTAGAAACAACAAAACCGGCTCCTCTGCGGGTCTCCAGCTCCACAAACCACAAACTAGAAAACAACGCATCACCTTATATTTCGGGCTCCACAACAGTCAATGAGAAACACCAACAATGGCTCCTCCACGGGTCTCCAACTCCCCAAACCTTAACTAGAAACATCAACACTGGCTCCTCCGTGGGACTCCAGCAACACGACCTTCAACTACAAACACCAACACCGGCTCCTGACGGGTCTCCAGCTCCACGACATTTAACTAGAAACACCAACAGCTTCTCGTCAACAGGTCTCCAGCACCATGACGCTCAGCAAGAAAAAACAACACTGGATCCTCTGCGGGACTCCAGCTCCACGATCCTCAACTAGAAACATCAACAATGGCTCCTCCACGTGTCTCCAACTCCAAACTTTCAACCAGAAACACCAACGACAGCTTCTCCATGGGTCTCCAGCTCCACCACCCACAACCTAGAAAACAACGCTCCACCCTGCATCTACAGCTCCACGACCCTAAAACAAAGACACCAACAGCGGCTACTCCGCCAACGCCACCTCGATGACCCTCAACTAAAACACCAACTCCGGCTCCTCCATGGGTCTCCAGTTCCCCGACCCTCAACTAGAAACACCAACTCCAGCTCCACCACAGGTCTCCAACTCCACAACCCACAAACCAGAAAACAATGCTCCACCTTGTATCTGTAGCTCCACAAGCCTCAACGAGAAACACCACCACCGGCTCCTCCACGGGTCTACAGCTCGATGAAACACAAACTAGAAAACAATGCTCTACCCTGTATCTTCAGCTCCACGACCCTCAAATAAAAACACCAACAGCAACTACTCCGCCATCTCCACCTCGATGACCCTCAACTAGAAACACCAACTCCAGCTCCTCCATGGGTCTCCAGCTCCACTACCCTCAATTAGAAACACCAATGACAGCTCCTCCACGGGTCTCCAGCTCCATGACCCACAAATTAGAAAACAATGCTCCACCCTGTATCTCCAGCTCCACAAACCTTAAACAAAGACCCCCACAGCGGCTATTCCGCCATCGACACCTGGATGACCCTCAACTACAAACACCAACTCCGGCTCCTCCATGGGTCTCCAGCTCCATGACCCTCAACTAAAAACACCAACTCCAGCTCCTCCACAGATCTCCAGCTCCACGACCCACAAATCAGAAAACAACGCTCCACCCTGTATCTCCAGCTCCACAATCCTCAACGAGAAACACCACCACCGGCTCCTCTGCGGGTCTCCAGCTCAAACACCCACAAACTAGAAAACAACACTCCACCCTGTATCTTCAGCTCCACAACCCTCAACGAGAAACACGAACAACGGCTCCTCTGCGGATATCCAGCTCCACTATCATCAACTAGAAACACCAACAATGGCTCCTCCGCATGTCTCCAACTCCACGACCCTCAACCAGAAACACCATCGAAACCTCCTCCACGGGTCTCCAGGTCCGTGACCCACAAACTAGAAAACAACGCTCCACCCTGTATCTCCAGCTCCACGACCCTCAAAGAAAAACACCAAGAGCAGCTGCTCCACCATCTCCAACTCGATGACCCTCAACTAGAAACACCAACTTCACCTTCTCCATGGGTCTCCAGCTCCACGACCCTCAACTAGAAACACCAACTCCAGATCCTCCACGGGTCTCCAGCTCCGTGACCCACAAACTAGAAAACAATGCTGCACCCTGTATCTCCAGCTCCACACACATCAACTAGAAACACCAACTGCAGTTCCTCCACGAGTCTCCAGCTACAAAACCCTCAACTACAAACACCAACATGGGCTCCTCCACAAGTCTCCAGCTCCACGATCCTCAATTAGAAACAACAAAACCGGCTCCTCCGCAGGTCTCCAGCTCCGCAAACCAAAAACTAGAAAACAACACATCACCCTATATCTCCAGCTCCACAACAGTCACCGAGAAACACCAACAATGGCCCCTCCACAGGTCTCCAACTCCCCAAAGCTCAACTACAAACACCAACACCGGCTCCTCCGTGGGTCTCCAGCAACACGACCCTCAACTACAAACACCAACACTGGCTTCTGGTGGGTCTCCAGCTCCACGACATTCAACTAGAAACACCAACAGCTTCTCCTCCGCAGGTCTCCAGCACCATGACCCTCAGCAAGAAACACTAACACCGGATGCTCCATGGGACTCCAGCTCCACGATCCTCAACTAGAAACACCAACACCGGCTCCTCCGCAGGTCTCCAGCTCCACAATACTCAACTAGAAACACCAACAATGGCTCCTCCGTGTGTCTCCAACTCCAAACCCGCAACCAGAAACACCAACGACAGCTCCTCCACGGGTCTCCAGCTCCACGACCCACAAACTAGAAAACAACGCTCCACCCTCTATCTCCAGCACCACAACCCTCAACGAGAAACACCCACAACGGCTCCTCCGCAGGTCTCCAGCTCCACGATCCTCAACTAGAAACACTAACAATGTCTACTCCACGTGTCTCCAACTCCCAACCCTTAACCAGAAACACCAACGACAGCTCCTCCATGGGTCTCCAGCTTCAAGACCCACAAACCAGAAAACAACGCTCCACCCTGTATCTCCAGCTCCACGACCCTCAAACAAAGACCCCCACAGCGGCTATTCCGCCATCGACACCTCGATGACCCTCAACTAGAAACACCAACTCCGGCTCCTGCATCGGTCTCCAGCTCCACAACCCTCAACTAGAAGCACCAACTCCAGCTCCTCCACAGGTCTCCAGCTCCACGACCCACAAATCAGAAAACAACGCTCCACCCTGTATCTCTAGCTCCACAATCCTGAATGAGAAACACCACCACCGGCTCCTACACGGGTCTCCATCTCCACGACCCACAAACTAGAAAACAACGCTCCACCCTGTATCTCCAGCTCCACAATCCTCAACAAGAAACACCACCACTGGCTCCTCTGCGGGTCTCCAGCTCAAACACCCACAAAGTAGAAAACAACACTCCACCCTGTATCTTCAGATCCACAACCCTCAACGAGAAACACCAACAAAGGCTCCTCCATTGGTATCCAGCTCCACGATCATCAACTAGATACACCAAAAATGGCTCCTCCGTATGTCTCCAACTCCATGACCCTCAACCAGAAACGCGATCGACAGCTCCTCCATGGGTCTCCAGGTCCGTGACCCACAAACTAGAAAACAACGCTCCACCCTGTATCTCCAGCTCCATGACCGTAAAACAAAAACACCAACAGCGGCTACTCCGCCGTTTCCATCTCGATGACCCTCAACTAGAAACACCAACTCCAGCTCCTCCATGGGTCTCCAGCTCCACGACCCTCAACGAGAAACACCATCTCCAGCTCCTCCACAGGTCTCCAGCTCCATGACCCACAAAACAGTAAACAATGTTCCACCCTGTATCTCCAGCTCTACAAACATCAACTAGAAACACCAACTGCAGTTCCTCCACGAATCTCCAGCTCCAAAACCCTCAACTACAAACACCAACATGGGCTCCTCCGCAGGTCTCCAGCTCCACGATCCTCAATTAGAAACAACAAAACCGGCTCCTCCGCGGTTCTCCAGCTCCGCAAATCACAAACTAGAAAACAAAGCATCACCCTATATCTCCAGCTCCACGACCCTCAACTAAAAACACCAACTCCAGCTCCTCCACAGGTCTCCAGCTCCATGACCCAAAAACCAGAAAACAGCGCTCCACCTTGTATCTCTAGCTCCACAACCCTTAATGAGAAACACCACCACCGGCTCCTACACGGCTCTCCAGCTCCATAACCCACAAACTAGAAAACAATGCTCCACCCTGTATCTCCAGCTCCACAACCCTCTACGAGAAAAACCAACAACGACTCCTCCGCGGGTCTCCAGCTCCACGATCCTCAACTAGAAACACCAACAATGGCTCCACCACGTGTCTCCAACTCCAAACCCTCAAGCGGAAACACCAACGACAGCTCCTCCACAGGTCTCCAGCTCCACGACCCACAAACTAGAAAACAACGCTCCACCCTGTATCTCCAGCTCCACACACATCAACTAGAAACACCAACTGCAGTTCCTCCTCGAGTCTCCAGCTCCAAAACCCTCAACTACAAACACCAACATGGGCTCCTCCGCAGGTCTCCAGCTCCACGATCCTCATTAGAAACAACAAAACCGGCTCCTCTGCAGGTCTCCAGCTCTGCAAACCACAAACTAGAAAACAACGCATCACCTTATATCTCCAGCTCCACAACAGTCACCGAGAAACACCGACAATGGCACCTCCATGGGTCTCCAACTCCCCAAACCTCAACTAGAAACACGAACACCGGCTCCTCCGTGGGTCTCCAGCAACACGACCCTCAACTACAAACACCAACACTGACTCCTGGCAGGTCTCCAGCTCAACGACATTCAACTAGAAACACCAACAGCTTCTCCTCCGCAGGCCTCCAGCACCATGACCCTCAGCAAGAAACACTAACACCGGATCCTCCACGGGACTCCAGCTCCACGATCCTCAACTAGAAACACCAACACTGGCTCCTCCGCGGGTCTCCAGCTCCACGATCCTCAACTAGAAACACCAACAATGGATCCTCCGCGTGTCTCCAACTCCAAACCCACAACCACAAACACCAACGACAGCTCCTCCATGGGTCTCCAGCTTCACGACCCACAAACTAGAAAACAAGGCTCCATCCTGTATCTCCAGCTCCACGACCCTCAAACAAAGACCCCCACAGCGGCTATTCCGCCATCGACACCTTGATGACCCTCAACTAGAAACACCAACTCCAGCTCCTCCATGGGTCTCCAGCTCCACGACCCTCAACTAGAAACACCAACTCCAGCTCCTCCACAGGTCTCCAGCTCCATGACCCACAAACCAGAAAACAACGCTCCACCCTGTATCTCTAGCTCCACAATCCTCAACGAGAAACACAACCACCGGCTCCAACACGGGTCTCCAGCTCCACGACCCACACACTAGAAAACAATGCTCCACCCTGTATCTCCAGCTCCACAACCCTCAACGAGAAACACCACCACTGGCTCCTCTGCAGGTCTCCAGCTCCACGCCCCACAAACTAGAAAAAACGCTCCACCCTGTATCTCCAGCTCCACAACCCTCTACGAGAAACACCAACAACGGCTCCTCCGCGGGTCTCCAGCTCCATGATCCTCAACTAGAAACACCACCACTGGCTCCTCCACAGGTCTCCAGCTCCATGACCCACAAACCAGAAAACAATGCTCCACCCTGTATCTTCAGCTCCACAACCTTCAATGAGAAACACCAACAACGGCTCCTGTGCGGGTATCCAGCTCCATGATCATCAACTAGAAACCCCAACAATGGCTCCTCCGCATGTCTCCAACTCCACGACCCTCAACCAGAAACACCATCGAAACCTCCTCCACGGGTCTCCAGGTCCGTGACCCACAAACTAGAAAACAACGCTCCACCCTGTATCTCCAGCTCCACGACCCTCAAAGAAAAACACCAAGATCGGCTGTTCCACCGTCTCCACCTCGATGACCCTCAATTAGAAACACCAATTCCAGGTCCTCCACGGGTCTCCAGCTCCATGACCCACAAACTAGAAAACAACGCTCCACCCTGTATCTCCAGCTCCATGACCGTTAAAGAAAAACACCAACAGCGGCTACCCCGCCATTTCCATCTCGATGACCCTCAACTAGAAACACCAACTCCAGCTCCTCCATGGGTCTCCAGCTCCACGACCCTCAACTAGAAACACCAATTCCAGCTCCTCCACTGGTCTCCAGCTCCATGACCCACAAACTAGAAAACAATGCTCCACCCTGTATCTCCAGCTCCACAAACATCAACTAGAAACACCAACTGCAGATCCTCCGCGAATCTCCAGCTCCAAAACCCTCAACTACAAACACCAACATGGGCTCCTCCGCATGTCTCCAGCTCCACGATCCTCAATTAGAAACAACAAAACCGGCTCCTCCGCGGGTCTCCTGCACCAGAAACCACAAACTAGAAAAGAACGCATGACCCTATATCTCCAGCTCCACGACCCTCAAGTAAAAACAACTCCAGCTCCTCCACAGGTCTCCAGCTCCATGACCCACAAACTAGAATACAATGCTCCACCCTGTATCTCCAGCTCCACAACCCTCAAACAAAGACACCAACAGCGGCCATTCCGCCATCGCCACCTCGATGACCCTCAACTAGAAACACCAACTCCGGCTCCTTCATGGGTCTCCAGCTCCACGACCCTCAACTAGAAACACCAACTCCAGCTCCTCCACAGGTCTCCAGCTTCACGACCCACAAACCAGAAAACAATGCTCCACCCTGTATCTGTAGCTGCACAACCCTCAATGAGAAACACCACCACCAGCTCCTACACGGGTCTCCATCTCCACGACCCACAAACTAGAAAACAATGCTCCACCCTGTATCTCCAGCTCCACAACCCTCAACGAGAAACACCACCACCGGCTCCTCTGCAGGTCTCCAGCTCCACGACCCACAAACTAGAAAACAAAGCTCCACCCTGTATCTCCAGCTCCAAAACCCTCAACAAGAAACAGCAACAATGGCTCCTCCATGGGTCTCCAGCTCCACGATCCTCAACTAGAAACACTAACAATGGCTCCTCCGCGTGTCTCCAACTCCAAACCCTCAACCAGAAACACCAACGACAGCTCCTCTACGGGTCTTCAGCTCCACGACCCACAAACTAGAAAACAACGCTCCACCCTGTATCTCCAGTTCCATGACCCTCGAACAAAGACACCCACAGCGGCCATTCCGCCATCGACACCTCGATGACCCTCAACTAGAAACACCAACTCCGGCTCTTCCTTGGGTCTCCAGCTCCACGACGCTCAACTAGAAACACCAACTCCAGCTCCTCCACAGGTCTCCAGCTCCATGACCCACAAACCAGAAAAAAACGCTCCACCCTGTATCTCTAGCTCCACAACCCTCAACGAGAAACACCACCACCGGCTCCTCTGCGGGTCTCCAGCTCCACAATCATCAACTAGAAACACCAAAAATAGCTCCTCCGCGTGTCTCCAACTCCATGACCCTCAACCAGAAACACCATCGACACCTCCTCCACGGGTCTCCAGGTCCGTGACCCGCAAACTAGAAAACAACGCTCCACCCTGTATCTCCAGCTCCACGACACTCAAAGAAAAACACCAAGAGTGGCTACTCCGCCGTCTCCACCTCGATGACCCTCAATTAGAAACACCAACTCCAGCTCCTCCATGGGTCTCCAGCTCCACGACCCTCAACTAGAAACACCAACTCCAGCTCCTCCACAGGTCTCCAGCTCCATGACCCACAAACTAAAAAACAACGATCCACCCTGTATCTTCAGTTCCATGATGGTCAAACAAACACACCAACAGCGGCTACTCTGCCGTCTCCACCTCAATGACCCTCAACTAGAAACACCAACTCCGGCTCCTCCATCGGTCTCCAGCTCCACTAACCTCAATTAGAAACACCAACTGCAGCTCCTCCACAGGTCTCCAACTCCACAACCCACAAACCAGAAAACAACGCTCCACCTTTTATCTGTAGCTCCACAAGCCTCAACAAGAAACACCACCACCGGCTCCTCCATGGGTCTCCAGCTCCACGACCCACAAACTAGAAAACAATGCTCTACCCTGTATCTTCAGCTCCACGACCCTCAAACAAAAACACCAACAGTGACTACTCTGCCGTCTCCATGTCAATGACCCTCAACTAGAAACACCAACTCCGGCTCCTCCATGGGTCTCCAGCTCCACGACCCTCAACTAGAATCACCAACTCTAGCTCCTCCACGGGTCTCCAGCTCCAATACCCACAAACTAGAAAACAGCTCTCCACCCTGTATCTCCAGCTCCACAGACATCAACTAGAAACACCAACTGCAGTTTCTCCGCGAGTCTCCAGCTCCAAAACCCTCAACTACAAACACCAAGACAGGCTCCTCTGTAGGTCTCCAGCTCCACAATCGCCAATTAGAAACAACAAAACCGGCTCCTCCGCAGGTCTCCAGCTCTACAAAGCACAAACTAGAAAACAACGCATCACCCTGTATCTCCAGCTCCACAACAGTCAACGAGTAAGACCAACAATGGCTCCTCCACGGGTCTCCAACTCCAAAACCTCAACTACAAACACCAACACTGGCTTCTCCTCGGGTCTCCTGTGACATGACTCTGAACTACAAACACCAACACCAGCTCCTGGTGGGTCTCCAGCTCCACGACATTCAACGAGAAACACCAACAGCTTCTCCTCCGCAGGTCTCCAGCACCATGACCCTCAGCAAGAAACACCAACACCGGATCCTCCGTGGGACACCAGCTCCACGATCCTCAACTAGAAACACCAACACCGGCTCCTCCACGGGTCTCCAGCTCCACGATCCTCAACTAGAAACACCAACAATGGATCCTCCGCGTGTCTCCCACTCCAAACCCTCAACCAGAAACACCAACGACAGCTCCTCCACGGGTCTCCAGCTCCACAACCCACAAAGTAGAAAACAACGCTCCACCCTGTATCTCCAGCTCCACAACACTCAACAAGAAACACCACCACCGGCTCCTCTGCGGGTCTCCAGCTCCACGACCCACAAACTAGAAAACAAAGCTCCACCCTGTATCTCCAGCTCCACGAACCTCAAACAAAGACCCCCACAGCGGCCATTCCGCCATCGCCACCTCAATGACCCTTAACTAAAAACACCAACTCCGGCTCCTCCATGGGTCTCCAGCTCCACGACCCTCAACTAGAAACACCAACTCCTCCTCCACGGGTCTCCAGCGCCATGACCCACAAACTAGAAAACAACACTCCACCCTGTATCTCCAGCTCCATGACCATCAAACGAAACCACAAACAGCGGCTACTCCGCCATTTCCATCTCGATGACCCTCAACTAGAAACACCAACTCCTGCTCCTCCATGGGTCTCTAGCTCCACGACCCTCAAATAGAAACACCAACTCCAGCTCCTCCACGGGTCTCCAGCTCCATGACCCACAAACTAGAAAACAATGCTCCACCCTGTATCTCCAGCTCCACAGTCATCAACTAGAACCACTAAATGCAGTTCCTCTGCGAGTCTCCAGCTCGAAAACCCTCAACTACAAACACCAACATGGGCTACTCCACAAGTCTCCAGCTCCACGATTCTCAATTAAAAACAACAAAACCGGCTCCTCTGTGGGTCTCCAGCTCCACAAACCACAAACTAGAACATGACGCATCACCCTATATCTCCAGCTCCACAACAGTCAATGAGAAACACCAACAATGGCTCCTCCACGGGTCTCCAACTCCCCAAACCTCAACTAGAAACACCAACACCGGCTCCTCCACGGGTCTCCAGCAACACGACCCTCCACTACAAACACCAACACTGGCTCCTGGCGGGTCTCCAGCTCCACGACATTCAACGAGAAACACCAACAGCTTCTCCTCCGCATGTCTGCAGCACCATGACTCTCAGCAAGAAACACCAACACCGGATCCTCCATGGGACTCCAGCTCCACGATCCTCAACTAGAAACACCAACAACGGCTCCTCCGCGGGTCTCCAGCTCCACGATTCTCAGCTAGAAACACCAAAAATGGCTCCTCCGCATGTCTCCAACTCCAAACCCTCAACGAGAAACACCAACGACAGCTCCTCCACGGGTCTCCAGCTCCACGACCCACAAACTAGAAAACAACGCTCCACCCTGTATCTCCAGCTCGATGACCCTCAAACAAAGACACCAACAGCGGCCATTCCACCATCGCCACCTTGATGACCCTCAACTAGAAACATCAACTCTGGCTCCTTCATGGGTCTCCAGCTCCACGACCTTCAACTAGAAACACCAACTCCAGCTCCTCCACAGGTCTCCAGCTCCACGACCCACCAACCAGAAAACAACGCTCCACCCTGTATCTCTAGCTCCACAACCCTCAATGAGAAACACCACCAGCGGCTCCTACACGGGTCCCCAGCTCCACGACCCACAAACTAGAAAACAGTGCTCCACCCTGTATCTCCAGCTCCACAACCCTCAACGGGAAACACCAACAACGGCTCCTCCACGGGTCTCCAGCTCCACGATCCTCAACTAGAAACACTTACAATGGCTCCTCCGCGTGTCTCCAACTCCAAACCCGCAACCAGAAACACCAACGACAGCTCCTCCACGGGTCTCCAGCTCCACAACCCACAAACTAGAAAACAATGCTCCACCCTGTATCTCCAGCTCCACGACCCTCAAACAAAGACCCCCACAGCGGCCATTCCGCCATCGACACCTCGATGACCCTAAACTAGAAACACCAACTCCAGCTCCTCCATGGGTCTCCAGCTCCACGACCCTCAACTAGAAATACCAACTCCACCTCCTCCACAGGTCTCCAGCTCCACGACCCACAAACCAGAAAACAACGCTCCACCCTGTATCTCCAGCTCCATAACCCTCATCGAGAAACACCACAAACGGCTCCTCCACAGGTCTCCAGCTCCACGACCCACAAACCAGAAAACAATGCTCCACCCTGTATCTCCAGCTCCACAACCCTCAACGAGAAACACCACAACCGGCTCCTCTGCAGATCTCCAGCTCCACGACCCACAAACTAGAAAACAACGCTCCACCCTGTATCTCCAGCTCCACAACCCTCAACGAGAAACACCAACAACGGTTCCTCGGTGGGTATCTAGCTCCACAATCATCAACTAGAAACAACAAAAGTGGCTCCTCTGCGTGTCTCCAACTCCACAACCCTCAACCAGAAACACCATCGACAGCTCCTCCACGGGTCTCCAGGTCCGTGACCCACAAACTAGAAAACAACACTCCACCCTGTATCTCCAGCTCCACGACCCTCAAGAAAAAACACCAAGAGTGGCTACTCCGCCGTCTCCACCTCGATGACCCTCAATTAGAAACACCAACTCCAGCTCCTCCATGGGTCTCCAGCTCCACGACTCTCAACTAGAAACACCAAGTCCAGCTCCTCCACGGGTCTCCAGCTCCACGACTCTCAACTAGAAACACCAAGTCCAGCTCCTCCACGGGTCTCCAGCTCCACAACCCACAAACCAGAAAACAACACTCCACCCTATATCTCTAGCTCCACAACCCTCAACGAGAAACACCACCACAGGCTCCTACACGGGTCTCCAGCTCCACGACCCACAAACTAGAAAACAATGCTCCACAACCCTCAACGAGAAACACCACCACCGGCTCCTCTGTGGGTCTCCAGCTCCACGACCCACAAACTAGAAAACAACGCTCCACCCTGTATCTCCAGCTCCACAACCCTCAATGAGAAACACCAACAACGGCTCCTCCTCAGGTCTCCAGCTCCACAGCCTAAGTCATGAGAGGCAGCACTGGCTCTTCCCGTAGATTCCAGATCCGAGACCCTCAGATTCGAATTGCAGGACCTCTTCCCCACTAGATCTCCAGCTGCACAATACTCAAACTGCAACAACATCAGCTCCTCCTAGGGTGTCCAGCTGCATGACCCTCAAACTAGAACAGCTCCTCCCAGGGTCTTCAGCTCCACGGCCCTCAAACTATAAAGACAACAGCTCCTGCCTGCATCCCCAGCTCTACAACCGTCAAACTAGAACACCAGTTCCTCTCCAGGTGTCCAGCTCCACGGCTCTCAAAGGAAAACAACATCAGCTCCTCCCTAGTTCTCCAGCTGTACGACCCTCAAATTGGAACATGAGCTCCCCGCCGCGTCTCCAGCTGCATTGCCCTTAAACTGGAACATCAGCTTCTGGGCCCTGAAACTGGAACATCAGCTCCCACCGGGTCTCCAGCTGCATCGCCCTCAAAGTGGAACATTGGCGCCACCCTGAATCTCCAGTTGCACGGCCCTCAAACTGGAACATCAACTCCCCCACGGTTCTCCAGCTGCATGGCCCTCAAACTGGAACATCAGCTCCCCTCCTGGTCTCCAGCTGCACGGTTCTCAAACTAGAACATCAGCTCTCTTGCCATGTGTCCAGCTGCACGGACCTCAAACTGCAACATCAGCTCCCCGCTGAGTCTCCAGCTGCATGGCGCTCAAACTGGAACATCAGCTCTCTGCCCTGTGTCTACCTGCACGGCCCTCAAACTGGAACATCAGCTCCCCACTGGGTCTACAGCAGCACTGCCCTCAAACTGGAGCATTAGCTTACCCCTGTGTGTCCAGCTCCCCGGCCCTCCAATTGGAACATCAGCTTCCTGATGAGTCTCCAGATGCACGGCCCTCAAACTGGAACACCAGCTCCCCCCCGGGTCTCCAGCTACACGGCTCTCAAACTGGAACATCAGCTCCCCCCAGATCTACAGCTGCACGGCCCTCAAACTGGAACATCAGCTCCCTGCTGGGTCTCCAGCTACACAGCCTTCAAACTGGAACTTCGGCTCAGTCCTGGGCTCCAGCTGCACGGCCCTCAAACTGTAATAGGAGCTGCCCCACCGAGTTCAAACTGTTCCAGTTTGAGGTCCGTGCAGCTGGAGACCCGGCAGGCAGCTGACGTTCCAGTTTGAGCGCCATGCAGCTGGAGACCCGGGGGTAGCTGATGTTGCAGTTTGAGGGCCGTGCAGCTGGACACATGGCAAGAGAGCTGATGTTCTAGTTTGAGAACCGTGCAGCTGGAGACCAGGCGGGGAGCCAATGTTCCAGCTGGAGACCCTACAGGGAGCTGATGTTCCAGTTTGAGGGCCATGCAGCTGGAGACCAGGAGGGGAGCTGATGTTCCAGTTTGATGTTCCCCCCCAGGTCTCCAGGTGCAGGGCCCTCATACTGGAACATCAGTTCCCCGCCCAGGCTCCAGCTACACGGCCCTGAAACTAAAACATCATTTCTCCCCCGGGTCTCCAGCTGCACCGCCCTCAAACTGGAACATCTGCTCCCCGTCAGGTCTCGAGCTGCACGGCCCTCCAACTGGAATATCAGCTCCCTGCCGGGTCTCCAGCTGCATGGCCCTCAAATTGGAACATCAGCTCAGCCCGGGGCTCCAGCTGCACGGCCCTCAAACTCGAACATTGGCTCCCCAAGGATCTACAGCAGCACGGCCTCAAAATGGAACATGAGCTCCCCGCTGGGTCTCCAGCTGCACGGCCCTCAAACTGGAACATCAGCTCCCTGCCAGGTATCCTGCTTCACAGCCCTAAAAATGGAACATCAGCTCCCCGTAGGGTCTCCAGCTGCACGGCCCTCAAACTGGAACATCAGCTGCCCCTCAGGTCTCCAGCTGCACAGCCCTCAAACTGGAACATCAGCTGCCCCTAGGGTCTCCAGCTGCACGGCCCTCAAACTGGAACATGAGCTCCTCTCCAGTTGCAGGACACTAATACTAGAAAAATGCCAGCTCCTCCTGGGTTCTACAGCTGTGCAACCCTCAAACTAAAGAAACGCCAGCTCCTCTCTGGGTCTGCAGCTGCATGAACCTCAAACTAGATCACCTCTCCCCCTGGATCTCCAGCTCCACGACCCTCACAGAGGAATAGCCACACCGGCTCCTTCACTGTCTTCAGCTCCACAACCTAAGACATCAGTGGCAGCACCAGCTCCTCCGTGGACCTCCAGCTCAACGACTCTCAGGCAGACTTAAAGGCAGCGTCGGCTCCTCCCCAAGGCTCCAGCTCCACCACCTTCAGATTTGAACAGCGGTAGCACCAGCTCCTGTCCGGGTCTTCAGCCCCACAACCCTCCCTGAACAATCCCTTCTCACGAAATTCAGCAGTCAAGAAAACTGCAGCAGAAGTAAATGAATAAATGTTTTGTTTTCAAATCTATATCTCTTTTATGTTCATGAGTTAACTTTTCCACTTTCCATTAAACTTGTAATCTACTTATGTCCAATGTGAGATAGAAACACAGCATTTGAAATGACGTTTAAAAACTTAGAAATATTTTTAATATAATCAACACACAGCCGTAGACGCGATCTTATTTCTCTCTGCCTGTACAGAAGTCTTGTGAAAATTAAAACTATGAATTTACTTTGTTGAGATTCCCAGAATACACATTAATCCCAAATGTTACTCCCCTCCTTAAAATCTTTTAACATGTTCCCATCACTCAAGCATAAATGCCAGCTCCCATTCACAGCCCAAGGTATCCAGGATGGCCCTGCCCTCTGCCCTGGTCTGTGGATTCCCCTCTTACGTGCCAGCACCCATCCACAGCCCACAGTGCCCGGCACAGCCCTGCCCTCTACCCTGGCCTATGGTCTTCACTCTGGTGCCCAGCCCAGCCCTTCACCCCCCTGTCCTGGCTTATGGTCTCCCCTCTTAAATGCCAGCTCCCATCCACAGCCCACAGTGCCCAGCACGGCCCTGCCCTCTGCTCTGGCTTAAGGTCTCTCCCCTCTGCCATTCCCTTCCTGCCAGACAGGCCTCTGTCAGTTCCCCAAACCACAGACTCAGGCCTGACTCCGAACCTTTCCCCTGCTGTGCCCTCTGCCTGGGGTGCCTTTCCCCGGCTCCACATCCTCCTCTTAACTCACTCAGCTCCAGCCTGCTGGTCGCCCCTCAGGTGGATGAACACATGGTGTCCTCCCGCCCCACCGGCCTTGGCATAGGCTCTTCTCTGTGCCAGACACACTCCCCCTCTCACTATCGGGGTTTACTCTCTAAATAGCATTCATCCTTGGAGTCTCCACTGAAATATCGCTCCCTGCCCACCCCCTCACTGGGACTTAACCTTGGTTAGGTTGCCAACCCATCTCCAGACTCCAGGAAGCCAGATGCCATCCTAGCACTTGGAACTTCCCCATTGCCACATTTTGCACACCCGTGATTACTGTGTTAGGTTGGTGCAGAAGTCATTGAGATTTTTGCCATTACTATTAACGAACTGCAGCACCAGCTCCTTCCCACTTTTTTTTTTCCATTACTTTTAATGACTGCTGCCCCAACTATTAGCATCATTTATATTTATCTATCTATCCATCATCTGCCTTCCCCTCTAGAAAGGAAGCTCCATGAGAATAGAGGCCAAATCTACTCAAATCACTCTAGCTTCCCAGCACACTGCTTGTCAATAATCATTTACCGATTGACTGACAGAGAAATGCCGTCACTGTTGCTGGGATGAGGCACACGACATGCCCCTTTGAAAGCCACTGTCATGGACAGGACAGTTAGCATTTGCTCTTCACTCCTGCACCCGTGGCGTGGCTGGGCTTAGGCTGATCTAGTCTGGGCTTGACTCCAGGCTGAGCGTGGGAACCATGTGTGCTCCACACGCCTCTCATCCTGCAGCCAGAGCCGCTGTTCCCCAGGGCACGCGCATCTCGTGGGGAAAATCAAGAGCCTTAGAGGGCAGGCCTGGCAGTGCCCGCACATTCCAGGCTTCTGCCCGTGCCGTGTCCGTGCAAATCTCGTTGGCAGAAGTTAAGTCACCCAGCCACAAGCAACACCTGTGGGATGGAGAAGTCCATCCACCCTCCCTCGGGCCCTGGCTAGGCTGCAGCTGCGAGCTGTGTCATACTCTTACAGGAGAGTGAAAAATTGAGGCCCAACATTAAATCACCCATGGCAAGAAATGTCGGCCTCTGTGTCCCCACGCTGGAATCATTCTTCACCAGCGGGTTCGCCTGAGCTGACTTCCCTTTGCAATGGTGTCTGCAGGTTTAGGCCAATGCTGTTCCCTGTGGAGGAGAGAGAAGCCTCAGTGGGCCTCTGTCTGTTGGGAAAAACAAGATATTAGCTTGGCGCAAAACCACCACAAGCCCCAGGGGGCCCACGCCTTGTGTGACAGGAGAGGGGCAGAGAACTGTGGGAACTCAGGAAAGCTTGCGTCCCCAGCCTCGCCCCCGTGTTCTCAACCCCTCCCCTGCATCCCCAGCTCCCTCCCCTGTGTCCCCAGCCCTCTCCCCTGCTTGCCCCATCTCTGCTTTCTTTTTTTCATTTTCTTTACTTTTTTTTTTGAGACAGGGTCTGGCTTTGTCACCCAGGCTGGAGTGCAATGGCACGATCTCGGCTTACTGCAACCTTCACCTCCAAGGCTGAAGCAATTCTCCCTCCTCAGCCTCCCCAGTGGCTGGGACTAGATGCCCGCCACCACACCCAGCTAATTTTTTTTTTCTTTTGGTAGAGACAGGATTTGCCATGTTACCCAGGCTGGTCTCAAATTCCTGAGCTCAAGTAATCCTCCCACCTGTCTCCCAAAGTGCCGGGATTACAGGCATGAGCCGCCGAGTCCAGCCTGCTTTATTTTTCTTTACAGTACTTGGAGCCTTCTAATGTACTAAGGACACGTGTATTTTATTTTTTGTCTTCCCTAGAACAGGAGCTTAACGTGGGCAGGTATTTCTGTTGATCTCATTTATTACCCTATCCCCAGTGCCTGGAACAGTGTCTGGCACATGAATGGTGTGTTCTAAGTAAGTATTTTTAATAGATAACTAAATGAAATATCCTACAAGAGAAAGCTGGTATTTGGAACTCACCCATCAACAGAACCTAAAAGCCAAAGACCTTTAGCCTGTCTCCGCCTCTGAACACACCCAGCCCGGGAGGAGCCAGCAGAGGAAAAACAGGAACAAAGGTGGGGAAGGGAGCAGGTGGCGCCCACCAAGTAAGGACCCCTGAGGCTTAGGCCAAACCTGAGCTGGAGAAAAGACTAGTCTAGGAACTGGGTGTGAAACTAAGTTTAGATTTGTCTGGCCTGGATTTTGTAACACCTAAACAAGGGTTATTCCATTATCTTTTTTTTTTTTTTTGAGATGGAGTCTCACTGTCCCCAAGGCTGGAGTGCAGTGGCGTGATCTCAGCTCACTGCAACCTCTGCCTCCCGGATTCAAGTGATTCTCATGCCTCAGCCTCCCGAGTGGCTGGATTACAGGCGCACACCACCATTCCCGACTAATTTTGTATTTTTAGTAGAGATGCGGTTTCACCATGTTGGCCCCCTGGCTCACGCCTGTAATCCTATCACTTTGGGAGGCTGAGGTGGGCAGATCACAAGGTCAGGAGATTGAGACCATCCTGGCTAACACGGTGAAACCCCATCTCTACTAAAAATACAAAAAATTAGCTGGGCGTGGTGGCAGGCGCCTGTGATCCCAGCTACTCAGGAGGCTGAGGCAGGAGAATTGCTTGAACCCCGGACGTGGAGGTTGCAGTGAGCCAAGATCACGCCACTGCATCCAGCCTGGGCGACAAAGCGAGCCTCCGTCTCAAAAACAAACAAAAAAAAACCTTCAAAAGAATGTAAGAATTATTATTTTTTAAAGTACAGCTTTAAAAATGCCCCTTACAAATACATCAGTGTTATATTAAGGCAAACCTACTTCAGAAGCACAAAGTTAATTTTTTATGATTCCAAGAAATATGTGAATGTTTAAAAAAAAAAAAACCCAAACACCTGAAAAGGGATCGAACTCAAGATAGTTTGTAACATTTTATTGCAAAAAGAAGGGCAGAGAACAGTTTTCTTCTTCATACCTGTTTACCACAGACCTCCCTGAGAGCAGTAATTTTTAGCAACTCTCCTGTGCAAACAAGTCTCATCAAGGAATCAGTGTACGGGCCACAAATACCTTCTCAGTGCAGTTTCACCTACAATACAAACACTCAGAAGCACAAATTTAACTGAGGTGAGAAACCAGGCCATTTTGTAGCTTCAGTTTTTCTACCAGTAATATATTAATTTCTTGAAATAGCCTAATAATTTACTTCTACTATCAAAACAGAAGCCCAATCTGGGAGAAAAATTTTTATAGAAGTCACACTAATTTCAATCACATTAGTAGAGGAATTCATATTAGTATAGGCTGAGGCGGGACGATCACTTGAGCCTAGGAGTTTGAGACCAGCCTGGGAAAGACAGTGAGACTCCATCTCTAATTATTTTTTCATATAAAGAAATTCAGAGAGGAGAAGGAAGTGGATTGATATGTGTCTGTCCAAAGACAAATTTTGTGTGCCTGTACATACAACACAACTATGAACCTTCCTTCACGCAGCTCACAATCCAGTAGTGAGAGGGAACTATGAAAACATGAGGCCCCACGATGAGGAAAAAGGTGCGCATCAGAGAAAAGAAAAATGCTGCGATGACCCAATGGCAGGAGCAGCACGCATCCACTTTCTTTGTTTTTTTGAGATAGGGTTTCGCTCTGTCTCCCAGGCTGGAGTGCTGTGGCTTGATCTCAGCTCAATGCAGCCTCAACCTCCCAGGCTCAAGTGATCTTCCCATCTCAGCCTCCCAAGTAGCTGGGACTACAGGCGTGCACCACCACACTGGGTTCATTTTGTTGACTTTTTGTAGAAACAGGGTCTCACGATGTTGCCAAGGCTGGCATCCTGAAGGGTGGGTGGGGCTTCATCCTACAGAGATGAAAGGCAGAAGCAGCTCAGAGCCCAGAGCAAAGGGGTTGGGGACAAGGGCATCCAGAACAGAGTGGCTCGGCTGAGACATCCAGTAGGATGCCACCAGGCAGAGGTGTGGTGGAAAAACACAGGGCCACAGGGTGAATGCTCACACGTGAGGAGCAAACCACCACAGAACACGACAGAAACATGGTGCACTACATCAGGCTTCAAATCGCAGCCCTGCAACTTGAGAGCTACCACAGGCAACCGGAAAGGGAGCACGGACAGCACCGCCCACTGCCTGAGGCTGTGAGACGACCAGAAACCTGTGCTCACTAATGACCCGCCTTATTCCAGAAGGAACTCAGGAAACACAAAGACACAGTACAGCAAAATAAAGTAAATGTTAACCATGTTGGCTGAGGAGAAAGTGAAGAGGTCTAAGACTGTCATAAAGTTTACCTCTACTCTAAACTCTCATTACTGGCGAGCCACCAACCAGACTTTAAATTTTCCAGCAGCTAAATTGAAGAGGAAAATGTAATCAGGTAAATGGTTTATAAGATGCAAACAAAACAGAACAGCCACCACAGCTGCTGAGCACACATTGCAGCTCCAGCTCCAGGGAGGAACAGGGCGGCCATCTCCTGGGGCTGCCCCGCAGTAGGCGTGTGAGCCCCAAAGCCAGCGTCCCTCGGGGTGGACAGTGACTACGGGCTTCACGGGGCCACATGCCCCCAGCACAAGCTGAGGAAATCTCCCAGGGCAATTCAAGGAACAGGGCCTCACAATGTTGCCCAGGCTGGTCTCAAACTCCTGTGCTCAAGCGATCCCCCTGCCTCGGCCTCCCAAAGTGTTGGGAGGTCAGGCGTGAGCCACTGCACCTGGCCCGGCAGGCATTTTAGAGAAGAGGGCTTTGCATCCTGAAGGGCAAGTGGGCTTCATCCTACAGAGATGAAAGGCAGAGGAAGCTCAGAGCCCAAGGTAAAGGGGGGTGCCTAAGAAAAGTGACTCCATTGGGAACACAGTGAGAAGTCCCGATGCACAGCTTGGGTTAAGCCAGACACTCATTTCAAAGTATCTCAGGAATGGGGGACTCAGCACCTGTCAGGCAATTCTCTCTCTCAAGCAGGCTCCTGGTAGATATTTAGTAGCAGCTGAAATCAACATTATGTTCTGATAGATACTTGCTGATGATTAAAGAGCTATATATGCTTTGAGGACCAGCTGAAGTGGGGCAGGACTAACACCCTCTGGTGAAAATATGGGAACCCAAACACACAAGTCAGAGCAGGAGGTGTCTGCCCCCACCCCCAAACAATAATGCTGACCCTGGATTTGGGTTAAGTGCCTAGCCCAGCATGTGAGTGTTCAGTAAGTGGAAACCATCACCATCATTAGGTGACGGAAAACCATCAAAGCTTTGAGCGGGCTTGTTGGCCAAGAACAGTGGTCGTGTATTAGCCACTACTAATAATCGCAGCTGACAGTCACTGAGCACTTGCTCCGTGCCAGGATCACGGGAAGCACCTCGCATGCATTTCCTCAATATTCCCCCCCAGTAACGGCGAGGACACAAAACTGGTAGAGCCAGGACTGGAATCCAGGCAGGCCCCAAAGCACTCCAGTGGGGCCTGCCAAGGTGGGCAGGCTTTCACGCTAATGAGGTCCAGTATTTGACCACCACTCCTAGGTGAGCAAGTTTAACAGAAAACCTAAAACTAAACCTAAAATCTAAAAACCTGAGCAAACGCATAAAAAGCAGGCTGTTAAAATGGATCATAAATCTTGCATCACTCACTGGAAAACCACTCAAAATAAATGTCTCTGCGACATGGCCTCTGGGGAGGGCACTCTGTGTGGCTCGTACCACCCTGGTGACAAACCACTTGAACCTGGGTGGTCATCTGACCACATTTCACAGATGATGCACAGAGCCATCTGCACCCACTGTGGTCAACATTTAGGACGTTTTAAGCTAAGATTTGCCAAATTGTAGCCTACTGGATTCCAGGTTCTCTTGACATCTTTTTCCAGTAGCCATGTCTTGCACTTCCCAAGTATAAAGGAACCGAGATGCAAATTTAAAAAAGGAGGATTTAAGAATAATGAAAAGAGAAAAATCAAGAAAGCACAATCACTAGAGCAGAGATAACAGAATTTCTGAATTCCCTGAAAACAATCTATATAAATGCATGTGAAATAATACACCAGCATCTGTGGCCCACACGTCACGTATCAGGAACTGATGTCAGAATATAAGGTAAACATGTTACTGTGAAAACACAAATCCTCACAAATCATTAGGCAGTAAGGCTGAATGAAGCATCCCCCCACGCACAACGCAGTGAGGCAGTGTCCAGCAGCCGTAGTGCTCCCCGCGCCCCAGTCCAGTCTCTGGCAACATCAGGTACTTCCCACTAATAACGAGGAGCCTTTCAACATTTTCACAACATCTCAAAACCGACCCCTTTTCTAGCTTAAATGGCACGGATCTGGAAAGGGAAACTATACACAGAATCGGAAAAGATGACTGCCCCTGAGGGATTACAGAAAAAGCTGCAGTCAGGTGTTCAATGAAGTAAAATGTGTCCAAAGATACCGCAGGGGAGGGGGATCAATTGAGCTGAAACTGGCAAGAAGGTAACTGCAGGGAGCTCACAACACCCAAGGACCCGGATTTCCGCCGCCTGAACGTCCAGTATTCGCACACTGATAAGAACACCTCCCCATAATTCCCCTGCCAGCGCCTCCAACACCCCCAATCCTTTCCCCAGGAATGCAGTCCCCGTGTTTGCGGCTCCTGTAACAGCCACGTCCCCACACAAGTGCTGCCTGAGCTCCCCAAGCCCTCCAACCACCACCCCCCAATGCCCTCGAAGGTCTATTCAGAGAAGTCACCAAGATGCAGTCACCGAGGAAATTCAAGGACCTCCAACTTACCAAAAGGCTTCCGGCTGTACAGAGCTAAGCTTCCTATTCCCCTCCTAAACCTACAACCTAGTTTTCATTTCTCAAGAAGCCTTTCCCTGTGCTCATGCACGCAGTTGTCAGCCGGCTTGGTGAGGCACTCCAAATAACAGCGGCAGCCACAACAGAAACCAGAAGCATCTCCACCATGAAGCAGTAATAATAGTTTGTCCTAATGATCCCTTTGTCCTTGGAAAATGAACTTCAGAAAGAAAGTTATCCACTGCGAGCAGAGCAGGCTTCTGGGTCCGGACCCAGGTCCCACGGGCCCACTCAGCGGCTTCTGGGTCCGGACCCAGGTCCCACGGGCCCACTCAGCGGCTTCTGGGTCCGGACCCAGGTCCCACGGGCCCACTCAGCGGCTTCTGGGTCCGGACCCAGGTCCCACGGGCCCACTCACCGTTGGAGAGAGCTTGCTGAAGCTCGGTGTCCGATATCACTCCACTCCTGTCTTTATCAACCCTACAACATCAAGAAGACCAAATAAGCTGGCGATCCAAAGTTCAGGAAAAGCAAAACAAACGTCTCCTGTCAACCCTGCACTGACTCTGGAAGGCTCGGAGCCTCCTGGAACCTCCGCCTCTCCCATCCCGCTGAGGAGGACACGGGAATCAAGGAAGTGCCGCAGGAGCCCACGTCCAAGCGGGGTCTTCCCCTAAGAGGCCAATCATCTTTCTCTCTCAATCCTTCCCTTCCTTCCTCTCCTGGCCTGTCTGAATTCACATTTGCACCAGTTTCCCTTTTTCACACACAAGATTCCCTCAGATAACTAAGGCATTCCCTGGCCATGAGTCACTACAGTTTCGGTCATTCATTCCGTGGAAAAGCGACCGGGACAGAAGGCGCCGCCGGAAAGGTCACCTGCCCCGAGCAGACGCCAGGTCGCTGCTGCTTCCTCGGCTGCTGACACTTAACAGCGCCCAGACATTCTGTCTCTGCTTTCCCCGAACAAGCACCCCTGGAGACCCTCCGCCCGGCGGCTCCTGAGGCGAGAAAAAGGGCCTAGCCCGGGAGCCGGTGGCCGCGACCTCGGGTCTGCAGCGGCTACTCTGCACCTCTGGAAGGGCCCAACGCACAGGGCAGGGACCGGGCAGGAGGCGGGGGCGGCCACAGGGGACGGGGGAGACCGCAGGGGACCGGGCAGGGGACGGGGGCGGCCGCGTCGGTCGGGGCCGGGGACGGGGGCGGCCGCGGGGGGCGGGGCGGTCGCCGCGGAGGCGGGAGGTGCCCGGGCGGTGCCAGGCCGCACCTCTGGAAGACATTCCACAGAAGCACTGGCCCGGCAGCGCCGCGCCCGCAGCAAGCCCCCGGAGCGGTAAGAGCAGGCGGCCAAGGGCCAAGGGCCAAGGCGCGCGGCCGGGCTGAGGCGCCTGCGGCGACGGGAGATCGCTCAAGGCGATTCCGCTTCCGCCTCTGCCGGGGGCAGGGCCTGGCGTTACCGCCACTTCCGGGGGCGCAGGAAATGCGTGTGCGCGGGATGCTCCGGCGCGGCCGCCTGGGCGCGGTGCGTGAAGGCGCTTGGGGAAAATGCCCCGCGCCGCGATCCGGGACGGGAAGTGATGGAGCAAGGACTTAGCCTTTTAGTTCTTTTATAGAAAGAAGTTTTGACGTGAATGTGATTCAGGCTAACAGTCGGAAACTCTGGGCGGAGCGCGGTAGCTCACGCCTGTGATCCCTGCGCTGTGGGAGGCCGAGGCCGGTGGATCACCTGAAGTCGGGGGTTCGAGACCAGCCTGGCCAATATTGAGAAACCTCGTATCTACTAAAAATATAAAATTAGCCGGGCGTGGTGGCGCACGCCTGTAATCCCAGCTGCTCGGGAGGCTGAGGCAGGAGAATTGCTTGAACCCGGGAGGCCGAAGTTGCAGTGAGCCGAGATCGGGCTATTGCACTCCAGGCCTGGGCAACAAGAGAGAAACTCTGTCTCAAAAAGAAAAAAGAAAAAAAAAAAGGTAAAACACAATTCGGGTGGGAAGGGCAGTGTGCAGTGTTGTCTGTTCCGCCCCCAAAAGCTTCCCTCTTTTAGGTTTAGCCTGCGCCCCCACGCTCTGCATCAGCGCCACCCCCGACGCAGGCGCCCAGTGCAGCTGGAAACACTGGGCGCCTCCCTGCCTGACCCCTTCCCGCCCCTGGTGGTGGTGCAGCCCTGTCTCCCCCGAGACAGCACTGCCTCCGTGCTGGACACAGTTCTGCGGTGGAACCTGGAGTGCCTGTAGCACCAATCGCCGGAATTGGGAAGTGCCCGGCTTTGGGCCACTGTGATCCCTGGGTTTTCCCGCGCGCGTACTCCGTGCTGCCTTCCACCCCAGTCCTGTGACCTGTGCCCCGGTTCAGGATACTACAGGCTACTACAATTATTCTCATTATTTCATGGGGTTATTCCAGCTTTTCAGGTTCTTCAGTGCCTCATTCCAAGAATGCTAACATTTTTCATCCTCGTAGTTCCTAGGATTGTCTCTGAATTTTCACCCAGTTGCCTACCAAGATGTTGTCTGTGTCTACTGCAGGGGACGGTGCAGGTCTGAGTATCTTACACACAGCTCACCTTTTTGGTGCCTTTGATCCATGTTAGGAATTATCCACATGTCTCTGGGCAATATTCTACTTTCTTTTTACATAGACCCAATTATTTTACTTCTTTGGTGTGTCCTTTCTCCTAACACATATGGGTTCACTTTGAAACCTTGAAACCCACATTTACAAAACATTTTTGGTATGAAACATGGTTCCATGACTCATTAGTGGAGTACCATAAACATTTACATTTCCAGACCACCCACTTCCCAGTGGTTTTCTTGGTCTCAGTACTCATGAAAACGGTCTGAAGGTTTGTTTTGGGTTCCTAAGCAGTAGACACACACACAACACTGCCTGTCAGCTATTTCTTGGAAACTAAATCAGCCTTCTGTTGCCATCCTATCATGCTTCAGGGGTGCCTGTGCTAGTTTTTAATTCTTTGTCCCGACACTTAAATGTCTGCTCAAACGTCCATATTAATACTTCCTCTTAGTTTACAAAAGGATTTACTTTCTTACTGGTTGGGATGAAGCTGTCTGAGGTTGCCACCTGTTATTATTCCTTCATTTATTGGACAATGTCTGCCATTGGAGGTTTTCAAACTGTGGTCCCTGGACATGTTAGAAATGCAAATTCTCAGGCCGAATCAGGACTGAATCAGAAGATCTGGGGTAGGGTCCCCCCAGGACTGAATCGGAAGGTCTGGGGTGGGGTCCCCCACCAGGACTGAATCGGAAGGTCTGGGGTGGGGTCCCTGCAGGTAATCCTGTTACACAGGTTAGAGAACCAGGGCATTAGGGGTGGCAATTTGACAAATTTTTTTTTTTTTTTTTTTTTTTTTTTGAGACAGAGTCTTGCTCTTGTTGCCCAGGCTGGCTGGAGTGCAGTGGTGCACTCTCAGCTCACTGCAACCTCCACCTCCCAGTTCAAGCGACTCTCCTGCCTTAGCCTCCGGAGTGGCTGGGATTACAGGCACCCACCATCATGCCTGGCTAATTTTTTGTATTTTTAGAGATGGGGTTTCACTATGTTGGCCAGGCTGGGACAATTCTTAAACTGTCATTCTTTACTCACTTATTTGCAGGAATTCTTCTGTAAAGAACTTTTCCTAATCAACAAGGTTTCCCTGAATTGCAATTTGTAGAGAAAAGGCAGGAGAATCGCTGACCTTCCTTCAAGTGTGCATTCCCAGTGTTAGTGTTAGTGCCCTAGTCACCTCCAAGAAGGACCAATTACATGTTTTAGTTTGGTTGGTTTTGGCTTTGAAACCATCACTAGGAATTCATGATTTTCATGTAGTAGGGACCACAGTCTAGGTGCTTGATGTATCTACTGCTCCTGGGCAGAGCTAGGAAATGTGTCTGTGAAAAGAACAAAGGAGCTTGCGCTTATATTTCTATTTCAAATTTAGTATATAGTTTTACACCTTTTTCTCACAAAAATCTTGTTTCATTTTTTGAGATGAAGTTTCATTCCTGTTGCCCAGGTTGGAGTGCAGTGGTGCGATCTCGGCTGACTCCAACCTCCGCCTCCTGGTTCAAGTGATTCTCCTGCCTCAGCCTCCCGAATAGCTGGGATTACGCCATGCCCAGCTAATTTTTGAATTTTAGTAGAGATAGGGTTTCACCATGTTGGCCAGGCTGGTCTCGAACTCCTGGCCTCAGCTGATCTGCCTGCCTCGGCCTCCCAAAGTCCTGGGATTACAGGCGTGAGCGTACCGCATCTGGGCAGAAAAATCTTAGTTTTAGCATTAACATATTAGTTATTAGCTTTAACTCCCACCCCACATAATTTCAAAGGATTAATACCAATAAGACGAGTAACAATGAGATGATTGATTGAAATTTAGGATTTCAGTGGCTCTATTTGTATTTAGACTATGGCTCACTAAATTTGCACACTTGAAGTGCTGTGTTCTAGTGATGTTCTGATGACACATGAAGTAATAGGCTGCGTGACTGTCACCAGCCTGATGTGCACTTGGGTTGCAGAAACCTGTGATGCTGCCTAGCCCAGCCAGCCCCAGGTCACTCCTCAGACTCCAGCTGGATTCTGACACCACAAGCACCCGGGTCTCCAGTACTTTATTATACTTAAAGTATAATAAAAAAATAAAAACATACAAAGAGTCAATAACAGTTAATACAAACTTGAGGAAGAGCAAAGTCAGAGGACTATCACTATTGGGTATTGAGCCTTAATTTAACGTTACAGTAAATAACACAAGGTGAGACTCTTGAAAGAAACATGGACCAATGGAACAAATAGAGGCTCCAGAAACTTACACAGATAAATTTGATTTATGCCAAAATTAGGAACTTCTGTTCTGCACTAGCATGGCTAAGATGAGAAAGGCAGAAATACCAAATCATGGCCTAACTGTGGAGCAGTGGGTGCTGGGGTGGGTCCTGCAGCTGGACACAGGGGACTCAGTGAGGCAGTGACCCAGTAATGCAGACCCTAGCACATGCCCAACAGAAATGTGTATGTAAATTCACCAAAAGACAATCATCTGAATGTTCGCAGCAGGTGTATTCATCGCCTCAAACTGAAGGCAGTCCAAATGCCCACTGACAGCAGAATGAATGAGTAAACCGTGGTGTGTTCACAGGACAGAATCCAACAAGGCAGCAACAGTAAACGAGCTTCAGGTGCAGCCGCAGCAGGGTAATGCTGGTGTGATGCGGGTGTGATGCCGGCGTGATGCTGGGAGGAAGGAGGGCACCAGTGCCTTCTGCTGGGCCCACGTGCATGGAATTCAGAACTGGGCAGTCCCAATTGGCATCTGGGTCAGGACAGTGGTCCCGGCAGGGGTCGGGGAACAGCTCCACAGAGGGGGTTGCCAGGGTCCGGTTTTTGATCTCAGTCCTGGTTACA